GGTCGATTTAATAGGCCCTCCTTTTCCTGCTTCCGTTCTTCTTTACCTGCTCCTGCTTTATCCTCTTCTTCCCGCTTGTTGGCGTTGGTTTGTGTTGGCGCGTCGGCGTCGTGGTGATGTGTCGGTTCCTCGGTGGTGCCTTCTCGGCATGGCTTCTTGGGGTGGTTCGTTTGGGCCCTCTTTGGTCGGCTTATTTGCGTGGGCTGTTTTGGTATGTAGTTTAAAGAAGGCTGTCTCATATTCAAGGAATATATTTACTGATTGGATCCATGTTCTTTAGGTCTTTGCGTGGTCGGTTCGGCTGCGATGCTTCTGGTGTTTTGTCTGGCGGCTTCCGCCTTCGTCAGGCGATGGGGTGCAGTGGAGGGTACCCGGAGTAAGGTAAGGGCTGAGATGGAAGGCTGTGGCAAGGCACTGTGCTATCGCCTGTATAGGGAGATATAGGGGGCCTCTGCGCATGTTTCACGATGACTTTGGACTAGATGGCTGTGGCACCACCGGTGTGCTGTATGGTGATGCTAGGAACATTGCATTGTCGTTTGTCGGTTTTGGAGGACGAGGGTGACACCTTGCATAGCAGGAATGTACAATGGAGCGGCCCGGTAGACCATGGCTCTGTTTGCAGGCACGTATTAATCATCTTTACTTTTACGTAATAAAGAAAAACAAAGTGAGTATGACTTACTAACTAATTTAAAGTATTTTTGCTAGTCGTCCATCCCCCTTTCTTGTAGCAGTTAATCGTTTTGACGATTGCTAATACAAGGGAGGGGAGCAGCTCTATGTAGGACCTGGAGACCGTCTTTGCATTGTAGCATTTTCTTAGTCGTGGTTGCTCCATTGGTTCACACTGGCTCAAAAGACACCCCGTGGTACTCCTGCGTCGACAATACCACAAAGCATTGTTCCACAAGCATTACCACCTCACCGACCCCACAGCACGGTTCTCGGTCGTCCTCTGGAATGTGTTTACGCCTAAACCGCGTCTGATCCCTCGGGGGCCTGGGTAGCAGTTAGCTGTCCCTCTGCTATGGAAGTGAGTATCCTTCTGTCTCATAACCCTTACCCTCTGCTTCGGGTGCCTGAAGCTGGGGTGTCCGGGCTGGGGTTGTCCTGGCGAGAGCGATGGAGGTAGTACGCTGCCATGTTGGGAGAGCGCCAGCTTTCCAGGCTAGCCGAGTAAAAAAAACCTTGGCGCTGATCGTGGATTAGCAGAATCCCGTCTTTGGCTTGATTACATCGTCGTTGCGTGTGGTTAGTATGCATGTGCCTGACATGCCGTCATGGTGGGGTGGCGCCAAATTTCAGGCTAGCCGAGTACAAAAGCACCCTTGTGTCGAATCGAGGATTCGGAGAATCCCGTCTTTGGCTTGATTTTCTCTTGTCAAAATGCATGCCCATCACGAAAAAGCGTGCAACGGTGAATCACATGTTTCAGCGCAGCAATTTTATCATCACATCAAGAAGTAGCGCAACTCAGTGATACGGATAACAAGCAAGAAGTTGTAGCAACGAAGAGGCATCAGCATGGCTGACGGTTCAACTCGAGTATCTCAACAAGTTACATTAAGGCGGCAAGGACATATAAGGAGCAACACATAAAAGAGAGCGGTATCAGCACGTTGTAGACATAAAACCGAAAAGCACAAGAGCGGAACGAATTGACAACATTGCAAATGACAATTGCTAAAGGTCGGATCGAGATGATGAGTCACCTCTGCTTATGACAACAAACAGCAAGATTTATTCATGCGACAACATCGACGCAACAAAATAGTCGGCATCGGCATTGATGACATCCAACTTGGTGGCAACAACTCAGGCAAACAGCATTTGCGGTAACAATTGACAACAGCGGGAACAGAACAAGCTTTCGAGCGGATCTTCATCATGGCACAACAAGATATCAAGAGCTCCGGACGACAACATCAACCAAGGCAGGAAGGTGGCAACTAAACCCTGGAATCTGGCACTTATCGAACAATCAAGCGGCAACATTTCAATTACATGACAAGTTTCGTCCGTTTCTGATTGTTTATCGTTGAAGGGAACAAGAAGCCATGGGAACGCTTTTTTGTCAAACCTACATAATCTGGCGATACTATAGTATGCAGCGTAATGACAACCACACATCAGAGGCAACAAGAGCGACAGGAAACGACGTAGGCAGCACAATTAGTCATTTTACTTGCTACTTTATGAATTGAAAGTAAGTGCGCATGATTATCTGATGACACCGATATCAAGTCAAAAACAATGGTATGCTCATATCTATTATCTCTTCTTAGGAATCGTAAAGGCGATTCAAAATCTTGGCGATGACCTCCATACAACTAAGCATCACGGGTTTGGACGACAGGAAAGGTCAAGGACACCAATGCGAACAAGTAAGTGACAAACTAGCATCACATCATATGTGGCGGTTTCATTCTTGCTATGGTTGTGAGGCAGTTAACGCGTGGTGAATGAAAACGCAGCTGTAGTAACCGCAAATCAAACACAGGACACAGCTATTTCAAACAATACAAGGTCTCGCTCATAAGGCGCATCAAACACGACATTGGCTTTGAAGGCGTCATCATCAAGTGGCCCATCATATTCAGATCCACACGACGGCACTGTATACCAACAAAGCGGAAATCAAGAAGAGCCTACCACCAGTATACAGTCTACGATACAGTGGTGATAGAGACGATCCTACAAACCTGATCGGTGGCAAGCGGAAGCAGTCAATACATCTTTCAAAGTCAAGATGGAAGATACATATGCACATACACACTCAAGGCACATCAATGAAACGCACGTGATTGTCGACCAGCATCCATATTGCTCGCTCAATTATCATGCGACGACAATAAGATATTTGTGGAGAAAACGAAAAAGGGTAAATGTGCAGTGCTCTAAAAGGATTACAACAAACGTCATTGGGACATACCACATATATTCATCAAAACTTCAAACCATCCTTTAGCAAAAGTGGCGGCCGAACGATATTGCTATTTAATGCATCCTCAAGAGATGCAGACACATGCTTCAAGAAAATCAGCTACAGACAGCAAGATATACCAGGGGCAATAGGCATTTAGAAAAGCATCACGGTAAGAATTAGTGGCAAAAAGCAATTGATCCACCTTTAATGTTACGCAATTGTGCTCACATTGCTTTGTCGTAGAGCCCTGCATGTTCCTATATACCAGTCAACGAGATCTCTCACGAATATATTCCCACTACAGATGTTTGGTAAGTTAATTCCAGGTAATGATAGACCCCGTAAATAAGGAAAAGAAAAAAGAAAAGAAAAAGAAACACAAAAAATCAGAAAAGAAACAGAAAGGGAAAAAGAAAAAAAATATATATACAAGACACAGATACAAGGCAAATGGTGCAAAAAAGACAACTCGAGCACGACAAAAAGCAGCACTTAGAGCAAGCTTATGGAGAATTATGATACAAGGTCAATACGTTTCGTAAGATACGAACGCACTTGTATCAATTCCGGGCTGAAGACAAACAATTGAATTCAAAAAAATAAGATCAGCATCACATATACGAGTGGATTAAGCTTGAAAAGTAAAATTAATAGTAAGTACAACAATAATCAAAACACATGCTAATATTTCGCCATCAATTTCATCGGTAGCTAACGTCACAAAATCCACGTTATGTTTTCAATATTTCAAACAACAGTAACGAAATCAAGATTCTCGAGTTTTGTAATCGCAAACAACTTATCCATACCTCTAATCAAAAATGACGTCCGTGATCCACAAGAAGAGATGACGAGATCATCATACAACGGATGTAGCTGATGAATGATACAACAACAATACCGTTATACAAAAGCAAAAAAATACGAAGGATAATCATAAAGTACAACGAGTCAGTGCAACAGCAACTGCAGCACAGCCTTGGCATTAAAGCAGAAACTTAGACTAGAAGCAAAAGAATAAGGGGCTATCATTACCACGGACGTAAACTTACTAACATTTGGTAGAATAAACATATCTTTCTTATCAGTTCAGAATAACGCTTACTTTTGCTAGAGGAAATTGGTCGAGACAAGGGATTGTTGCATATAGCCATTCTCGTAGAATATATATAACTTCTTTTTATACATAGCATTTCATGGTATCAACCCCTCGGGAATATCACGCCTTTTATCAAGCCACCTGTACGCTCAAATTTAGACAACCTAAATTTGAATATGGTCTCGCGATAACGTCATTGACTTAAGACACAATTGAAAGCACCCGGCATAGCCCAAAACCAATGCCTCCGTATAAGTTTATGCCACATAAGGAGGGATACTGTCGGAGGTTTGAGTATCATACTGGAATGAAGATCTGCGAGATTAACGAGTGACGATTGTGGATGCGTGTAGCTTCAGGGTAGCAATTTGGGTGCTAGTGTCTACAGACGGTGCTTTTGGTAATATGTTTAAAAAGTATGGAGTTGAACCTTTAATGTTAGATGTATATACAGAACGACCGCTTTGGCGTGTGTTATCCTGGCAGTTTGTGCGTACATCTCTAACCTTACGACGACAAAAACGATCGTGGTGCATGATATAATGCATAATCTGAAACCACCTAAATTAACATTTTGATTTAATACTGTTCTTGGGCTTTGTGGTCTGCATGTTTGAAATACCTACATAGTTGCCATGTCAGTATATAGTATCCAACAGAAAGGCACAAGTTTAAGTTAGCATCCAATTAAATAACGGGGAGGCTTGCAGGTACTCTATGCACCCAACAAGCCTTTTAAGGCCTTGCTGAAGGGCTTTCATGAACATGTTATCACCAAAATGGTTGTCCAGCTTCATCGGAAAGCTCTTGAGCAAGAGAGCGTGTATAGATAAAATACACGTAGAGCTTCATGATTTATTTGGTAAAGATTCTACTCGAAATCATTTACTTTGTAATGAGGAGCACTTGTAAAGCTGAAAACTGCAAAGACCATCTGTGCAAAGTCAGAAAACCGTAGATATAGATACTTTCGCAGAATGTAACAATCTCATTAACTGCAGAAGCAGCGTTTATCTAAGATCTACGCTTGCAAATACATCTCGTGCGTACTATGTACACGCTTTTGCAAGAACAATCAATGTTCGTATTGTGTAACTCGATGAAAATGCCTAATAAAAGAGCTGCAGTGTCATTGTAGTCAACGCTGCTAAAATGACAAGCGAGTATATGTTTCAGTGCGAAACGATCTGTGCTTCACGGAGGACTCCCTTTTTTTTATATACAGTGGAGCTGACATTCAGAAGACAAAGTCCAACGACAAGGGTAACGGCTTTGATAGTCAGACGGCAGCCTTGAAGGTGCTGCCATTACTGTAGCCTACGAATCTCTCTTTCAAAATTATACGTAGTCATGAAACCATAACCAAACAGATCTTTGCAACTTCAACAACACTTTTTGTGTTTATTTATTTTTATCATTTTCTTATTTATTTTTGTAGTGGTGCACCTTGTTGGTCAAGGAAACACACACAATCAGATAGTTTAGACGTCAACAACACTTTTTGTGTTATTGATTTTGTCTTTTGGTGGTGTACACCAATGTGCTTTTTGTCATTTTCCTATGGGGCCCCGTAGGGAAAAGTATACACCGATGCCCCCAAACATCTGTTGGTGCTACTGCATAAAGAAATCCTTGCTCTGAAAAATAGACCTGTATTTATACTTTTTCAAAAAACCAAAAAAAGTCACACGCTAGTGGATCAGCAGGTCAAGACTGGTTTTCAAGCGCAGTCGCCCCATCACGTGATTGGCTTTGTAGAGCCCTTCTGCTTCTCCTTTGTTTTTTGCTGTGCAAAAGCAAAAGTAAAAGAAATATCGTTGGATTGACACTATGGAAACACACACGGTCGCTGTCATGCCGCTGTAGTATATAGTGTCGATCCGTGTTTCACCTTGTGCACCATCTCCGCTTCTTATATGGGAACCCCGAGTCCGGATCTCAGGTACCAATCCTGTACTTGATTGAAAAGGCATGGTAACTGCTATACACTCAAGCAGTGTAGCGATGGTAATAAGCAGACACCAAAATACAGAGATTCACCGTTGTCGACTCGTAATCAAAGGACAACAAGTTGCAAAAA